TTGTGTTTATTATATTTATTATGTTTATTGTGTTTATTATGTTTATTATGTTTATTATATTTATTATGTTTATTGTGTTTATTATGTTTATTGTGTTTATTGTGTTTATTATATTTTGTTTATTGTTGAGTTTATTGTCAGTAAAATATGAATTTATGACGCTTGTAAATAACTAAAATGTGTTTATTATATTTATTATGTTTATTGTGTTTATTATATTTTGTTTATTGTTGAGTTTATTGTCAGTAAAATATGAATTTATGACGCTTGTAAATAACTAAAATGTGTTTATTTTTGCCGCAACAACTTCAGCGTTGTAGATGAAACACGTTCATTTGTTCAGAAGGTTCTGGATGTGACATCTGAGACCTGTGCCTCCAGAACCTCTAAACATTTCATGAAATAAAAAGTCGAGTCCTGCAGCAGAACGTTGCAGCTCAGTCCCCCCCCCCCCCCCCCCCCAGGTCCCCCGTCATGCTGCAGCAGATGAATCGACTCGTTCTGTCCACATGGAGGTTTATTCTCAGAGTGGGCGTTCGTCTCGGCGGCTGTGATTGACAGCTCTGTCAGGTCAGAGGACACCTCGCCCACTGAACAGCTCCATGATGACGAGGCTCCATCTTCTTCCTCGTCCAGCTGAAGCTGGGGGTGGGAGCTGTGTGCTCAGGGTGCAGCCAGCCGTGGCCAGAAGATAATGGGAAAGCAAAGAGCATCATTACCCCCCCCCCCATGAATTACCCCCATCCATCCCCCCACCTGAGAGGAAAAGATGGATCTGGACTCTTCTAACCAACAACAGACTGAAGGAGCTCCACGTCGTCTGTTCAGCAGCAGCTAAAACAAGAAAAGAGCTCAGAGCTGGTCCAGAGCAGACAGGACGGACCAGGACCAGGACTAGAACCAGGACCAGAACTAGAACCAGGACCAGGACCAGGACTAGAACCAGGACCAGGACCAGAACCAGGACCAGGACTAGAACTAGAACCAGGACCAGAACCAGGACCAGGACCAGGACCAGCTGCTCGTAAAAACCAAATGTTCAATAACTTACTCTGAATTCTTCCTGAGCTCCTTTGTCTCAGTTCCTGCAGCTGCTCAAAGTCTTTGTTTCATTTTGTTTGTATTTTGAAACCCAGCAAACAAACAAACAAACAATTAAACAAAGTTTTTAAAAATCAGACGTGAGAGCTCTTTGTCGCTCAGCGGTGTGTGTGTGTTTCTGTGTGTGTGTTGGTGTGTGTGTGTGTTTCTGTGTGTGTGTGTGTGTTGGTGTGTGTGTGTGTTTCTGTGTGTGTGTGTGTGTGTGTTGGTGTGTGTATGGGGGCTCTGACTGTGTGGATCAGTCTATCTCCTGACATGTGGGACTTGATGAGAATAAAAACACGTTTTTGTTGCACAGGAACTCCAAATCATTCGTTTAGGTTTTTAATTGATCAAACATCGATTGAAGCCTAAAACTATTGTATCAATATATTGATCTGATTTGATTTGTCGTGGCTGGAGCTGAGGCAACAACAGAATTTAGGTTTTTCACCAAAAGACAGAAAATAACTAAAATTAAAGTTGAACAAAAAATAGACTCTCCGTCACTCCTGAAACATTCAGTCGAGCTCTGACGCGTTCACGCCCCCTCGTGGCGACACGTTCACGCCCCCTCGTTGTGATGCGCTCACGCCCCCTCGTGGCGACATGTACACGCCCCCTCGTGGAGACGCGTTCACGCCCCCTCGTGGCGACACGTACACGCCCCCTCGTGGCGACGCGCTCACGCCCCCTCGTGGCGACGCGTTCACGCCCCCTCGTGGCGACGCGCTCACGCCCCCTCGTGGCGACGCCCTCACGCCCCCTCGTGGCGACGCGTTCACGCCCCCTCGTGGCGACGCGCTCACCCCCCCTCGTGGCGACGCCTGTCGCTGCAACATTTTTGTTAAAATTTATGTCAACTGAGAACAAAGATCAGTTTTAAGAAAAAACTTTTCAGTTTTTTTCTGTAAACGATGGAAACGTGTTTCATGTTTTCCACCAAGTTTCTTCTTCAGGGTCTCCTCAGTGAAGTAACTCACACAAAGACCTGGTGATTGTTTTCACCACCGGAGGTCCTTCCTGACCAACCACAGACACCGAGCTACCACAGCCTCTGTGTGGAGCAGAGAGCTGCCATCCGTGGCGCCTGGGGGAGCAGATGGTGGGGGTTAAGAGCCTTGCTCAAGGGCCCAGGGTGGAGCAAATGAGGGTGGAGGCAGGTGCAGGTGCTTCATCTTTCCCTCACACATTTAGACGTTGTCGGTCCGGGGAGTTGAACTAGAGACCTTCCAATGACAGGCTCACCTTCTCTAACCTCTGCTCCACCGCTCCTCTTTCCCACCAAACTAAATCTTGTAAATGGTCATAAAATATTTCAATGAAAAGGAGTTTGTGTTTAATTTCTTTACCTGCTTTTCCTTCGGGCACCTGCAGGGTTGCCAGATAGGAAATGATGCAATATTGTTGTTGCACTGTAACCTTCATATTTTGACCCAAATTATTGTACGTGCTAACGAGGGAGGGCTTTCTGGACCAGAGGTGTTGTGATAGCAAAGTGTGCACGTGAAAAGGGGATTTGTGCACCTGGCGAGCGCACAACCTGAAGGTCGGTCCAAACAATACGTGATGTTCACGTTAAGCTTTATGTCTATGATGAACAGAAATACCAAATTTATTTTATAGTTGGGCTTTTATTCTTTTACAAACAATGATTTTTTTGCATAAACCCTAAAACCATCATAAATATGTATTTAATATTATTATAATTCTTAATAATATATGTAATGTAATAAAAAATATTTCTGTGCGAGAGGCGAACCCTCAACAACTGAAACGTTCCCACGGACAGAAACGTTTTAAACTTCTCTCTCGTTTTCCTCTTTGCATTTATCACTTCTGTCCCTGTTACGAACATTTTTCAGCTCAATACTCATCCAGCAGTTTGTAAGCTATCTCAGCAATTTAGTTATGGAAACATTCAGCTCGTTCACAAGGGTGGTGCAACTTTAGCTGTTTGAAATATTTAGCCTTTTCTGAAACTTTGTCTCATGGAAACTGAATTGAGCTCATTTTAAATCCTTCAGCTCTTTTGATGTGTTTACAACATTTTACTGCTCCTTTCACATTTTGTTCTGCTTCAGCTTCTTTCTGCTAATTTAAACTTTATTCAGCTACTTTCAGCTAACTTCAGCTGTTTTTCAGCTATTTTGTGCTCCTTTCAGAGTATTTTTGCTAATTTCAGCTTGTTATGCTCATTCAGCTTATTTCTGCAAATTTCAGCTTTTCTACAATTTCAGCTGCTATGTAGCCGTTTTCTGCTAATTTTAGCTGTTTCAGCTCATTCCACATTTTTTGCACTCAGTTCAACTTTTTTCAACCTATTTCAGCAAAAATGTGCTCTCTCCACTTGCTTCTGGTAGTTTAAGCTTCTTTCTGAATTTTCAGCTGTTTTTCAGCTGTTTTTTTCTTATTTTTTTGCTAATTTCAGCTGTTTTCAGATAATTTCCACTATGTTGTGCTCACTTCTGCTTCTTGCAGTCTAACTGAGCAAACGTTCTTTCAGTTTTGTTCTGCTAATGTAAGCTTGTTCTACCGTTTCAGCTACTTTTTTAAAGCATTTTTAGCTAATTTCAGCTGTTTTCAAATAAACTCAAGTTTTTAGTTGTAATTTTTGCTACTTTTAGCCTAATTAACTTCTTTATGCTAATTTCATCTTATTATGCTCCTTTCCGTTTTTCTGCTAGCTTCTGCTTTTTGTTATTTCAGCTACTATTTAGCTGTTTTATGCTAATTTGAGCATTTTTAGCCAATTCCATATATTTTTAGCTCAGTTGAACACTTACCACTTCATTCTGGTAGTTTAAGCTTCTTTCTGCCTTTTCAGCATGTTTTTTAGCTGATTTTAGCTGTTTTTCAGCAAGTTCTTCAGTAATAAGCGTTCTCACTGCATCTTCACAGGAAATTAAATTTCTTTAGTTTAATCCCTGTTTGATTTTTGCCTGACCAGTTTCGTTATGTTAAAATAAACAATAAATAATCTGAACTTATAATTCGTTCCTCAATCTCAGCGTTAGAAGAAAAGAGAAGTTCGAGCTGTTTGTTCTGAAATTCTTGTTTAGTTTGTTTTTAGTTTCTGCTCCTCAGAAAAGGGCGATAAAGTCTGAAGCCCCGGCCCGGTCAGCATCCGACCGTCTTCAGCTGGACGCAGCAGAAGTTTGTCTCAGAAGCGTCTTCGGCTGGACCAGGCTCCACGTTCGGCTCTGAGTTCGGCTGTTTTAGTTTTTATTTTCACTGCTTTGGTTTATTTTCAGCTGTTTCAGATTTTAAAGGACTTCCAGCGTTTCGGTGCCTCCTGCGTCTGAGACGTTCAGCTGAATCCACAATCTGTCATTTCCAACATTTAGTAATTACTCCCCCCACCTCCTCCACCTCCTCCACCTCCCCCCCCTCGGTCCACCTCCCCCAGTCCTGGTCCAGAAGCTGCAGCTCAGAACTCCACATTTGTCCTCAGCTCTGAGCGTTAAACGTACTCCTGCAGGCTGTAGCTGTCCTTAATGTCTTTCTGAGGACGTCTGGACGGGGACGATTCTGAACGAAGTCTGGACGGAGACGAGAACAGCCTCTGGTCCTGGTCCCGGTCCTGGTCCACAGAGGGTCTCTCCTGCTTCACCTCGTCCGTCTGCAGCTGGACACTTTTGTTTTGCTGGTTTTGGGCGTCCTCTCGCTCCACGTGCAGCTCCTGTCCTCGCTGCTTGTCCCTCTGCGGCGCCGGTCGGTCCGGGTTGTTGGAGGAACCGTAGTCGGTCTGGCCCGACCTGGTTCTGGGACAGGACAAGCAGAAAATGACTCCCCCAGCCAGGAGGAACCCAGCAGAGATGAAGGTGACGCACAGAGCTCCTCCGGGCTGGTACTTACTGCTGTCCGGCAGGTCCGTGGTCAGGAAGGCGGTGATGACCTCGTTGGTGAACCAGGACGCCGGGCCCAGACACAGGAGGCTGGCCAGCACGAAGCAGGCCCCCGCCGCCACCGCCGTGTGCCCCTTGGCTCGCTGGGTCCCCCCCCAACGGGTACATTTGAGCCCCAGGGAGGCGAGAAAGAGTCCGAACGTGGCCACCATGCAGGACAGAACCATGGCGGCCCGCATCATCTGCAGAGAGCCCGGCAGGGACAGCACTGAGTGCTTGACGGTGCAGCTGAAGAGCCCAGAACTGTACCAGACGCAGTCCATCCACAGACCCTGCATCTGCGAGATGGGGGTCATGATGCTGGTCCACACGTTGATGCTCACCTTCCAGTTGGGCAGCAGCGTGGCCACGGTGGCGCCGAGGACGCCCAGCAGCGCCAGGGCGAACGCCAGGACCTGAACAGAGGCGGGCAGCATGGTTCAGACCCGGTCCCGGCGCCGGCCCGGCAGCAGATAATTCCTCGGCTCGGCGAGCTGCGACCGAACAGATGAGGAGCGAGCGTGGAGCGTGACGGACACACAGCTGAGGCTGCTGATGGAAATCTGCTGCTCCGCCAGAACCCGATGATTAGTTCCTGCGCAGCAGAACCGGCGCTCACCGACACCTAATCATGACCCGTTAAAGCTGCAGGGTCCCTCGGCGCCGCTCCCCGGGACAGAACCCAAACAAAGACTGAAGTTAGTGGATCGCCTCCGGAACAAACCGGAGCCTTCATCTCTTAAAGTTGAGCTGAGAGAGCACGGCGGTTCTGCCGGTGCTGGGTCTGGTCTGAGTGAAACCGGGTCTGTGGGTCAGCAGCCTGCTCCGACGGCTCTGCCTCCCGTCTCCGTGGTAACCGTACACAGCTTCATCCCGATGAAGAAGAGTTTCTGTTTGTGTGCAGCTGAAGGAAGCTGCAGGTTCTGGCTGTCTAACCTGAAGGTCACCGGACCCGAAGGTTCTGAAGGTGCTGAAGGTGCCGCAGAGCCGCGGTTTTATCTGATGGGGGTACGTCAGACCTGCAGCGTCCAGTCACCCCTCAGAACCGGGCTTTTTGGATTCTTTTCAGCAGATCTGGACCCGTCGCCTTGATTCCTCAGAGCTTCATGATGGTTTTCCAGGAACAACGCCACTTCTGTGAACCCGAGGCGGATCCTTCCCGGTGGTACCCGCTGCACCACCGGTCCACCGGCGGCACCGTTTGGCGCTTTGTGTTCTGGGTCTGGTGATAAAGCCGGCGAGCTGTGAATCAAGGTGTCTGCTGTCATGTGACCGTGTGAAGGATCGTCCACTGCAGAGCGCTGATAAGGGTCCGCAGAGCGCCCACCCGCCCCGCCGGGGGCCCGGCAGCCCATCATTACCATAATCCTGCAGAGACACAAACTGGGAACCATAAACACACGTTTTCCTGCGCCAGGCGGAAACTTAAGGACGAGCTTTCATCACGGCTCTAATGACTGTTGTCGTGTTCCACGTTTAACTCCAGCAACACAAAGCGGGACTCAGACGGTCGGTTTCCCACCGCCGGTGCCCAGATGTGACGTCTTCAGCGCGAGCAGGGTTCTGGTTCTGGTCCTGGTCCTGGTCCTGGTCCTGCAGCAGAACAGCCTGTCGTCCTTTCACAATAAAAGTCATGTAACCGCAGCGCTGCATCAGAGACGAGCTTCATCCTGAAGTCTTGAAGATTATTATGATGAAAATAATTTGAAAAAAGAGGCAGACACAAGATTTCTTCTTCTTCTGCTTTTCATTTTAAATCTCGGTATCTTTTATATTCTTATGAATCGTTTTGTACTTTTAAAATGAATAAACTTTATACCATACCAAGTCTCATTTGAGGAAAATCCAGCGGTTTTCATTCGACGCCTTCTGTGTTTAATAATCAGTTTAAATGAAAACGTTCACAAATTTACATTCCTGGAAAGTTTTCCTGCAGAAATATTAAAATAAACTTCTTATTTTGACAAAATATATTCAGAAGGTTTCGTTCTTTCTAAATAAAACACATTTCAGATTCATAGTTTACGACAGACGTGCACGGACAACAAGCGCGTTGTTGGTTTTTAGAGTTCTGCAAAGAAAAACTGAGTTTAGGAACAATCATCAAAAACAGGTTTTTTATTTCCTGTCACATGGTTCTGAGAATTGTTCTGAGAATTGTTCTGAGAATTGTTCTGAGGATTGTTCTGAGAATTGTTCTGAGAATTGTTCTGAGAATTGTTCTGAGGATTGTTCTGAGAATTGTTCTGAGAATTGTTCTGAGGATTGTTCTGAGAATTGTTCTGAGAATTGTTCTGAGAATTGTTCTGAGGAAAAAGTTGATTTTTCTGATTTGAGCTCGATGTCGTTTGAAGTAACGTCTGGAGGCGCGGGCGGATTCACGAAGGCCTAAATGATTAGATTCTGTGAAACCAACGAGGGGGTCGGGCCTGCGGGCTGATGTTGGTTCTGTCGGACACCGGGCTCCAACATCACGTCTCTGGAGGTTTGGGTCGACGCCGCGGGCCTTCATGACGTCGAGGACAAACGTTTA